CTTGGGAGCAGGACCCCGGCAGGTCTAGGCGCGCACGCATGCAGCTGCATCTCCCTGTGCGCCTCGGAGGGTTTGGGATCCGGGCGGCGGCCTCTTTGAGTCCGCTCTCCTATGTTTGTGGGTGGGCGCAGGCCGCACGGGATATTGCACATTTGGGGGTGGCGGGCGAGGAGGCGATGTTCGCAGAGTACCTCACCACTTCGGCGGGGGCGGAGCTTCTTGACCCGTGGTTTGCCAAGGCCATTGAGCAGTTGCCCGCGACTATACGCAAAGAGCCGCCGGACTTACCCCTGTGTGTGACGGCCCCTCCTCTTCGGCTTTTCCAGGCGCGGCAGCGGCAGTTGGCTGTTGAGGAGCTCCAGGCACTCCGCCGCTTGGCTCGTGACGATGCCACCCTGGCCCGTTTCACATCCCTTCAGGGCCCGGGGGCTGGTGCATGGGTTTCGGCAGTTCCGGCTCATTCAGATCTCACATTCACTGCAGCGGAGTGGGGCATTGCTGCTGCTATACGGCTTGGTCTCCCAATCCAGCAGCTGCAAGTGGCGGGGAGGTGTGTTTGTGGCACAGCGTATGATGACCCAGCAGACCCGCATCATGCGCTGAGATGCAAGCACCAACACGGTCCATCTCGGGTGCATGATGAGGTGAAGTTTGCGGTGGCAAAGATCGCTAAGGCGTCAGGGGGGGTGGTGACGATGGAGGATAGTGCGGTGCTGCCGGGGAAGCGGGTTGACGTAGCGGTGCGACGACCAATGGCTGGGGAGGCTCATGCTTTAGAGATTAGTGTCGCGGACCCGCTATCACTGTCTCCATCTCTGCTAGGGCAGTGCGGGCGGTCTATAGGCGTGGCGGCAAAGGAGTGGGAGCGTCGCAAAACGGGGGATTACGCGCCTCTTCTTGCACGGAACCGAGGCGTGCAGTTCACCCCTTTGATAGTGGAGACGTGGGGGTGTCTCGGCGGTCGCTTCCGGCGGTGGCTTCGACAGCAGGGGGACGCGCACGTGGGGCTAGCTGTGTCACGGGGGGCTTGTCGGGAGGATGACACTTCGTTAGCGGCTTACTTTTGGGGTCTCTGAAGGCGCTCATCGGAGTGGCGTTACAACGGGCGCAAGCTCGTGTCATCCTGCTTCGGGCGGCGTCTTCCATGGGGGGGTTGAATGTGGACTTGGTGGATCGGGAGAGGGACGATGTCGAGGTGGAGGGCGGGCCTCTTTGGGTGGAGGCCCCCTACATGGTGGATGTGCAGATGTGACTTGGGGGGGGAGGGGGGGGGGGGGGGCGAGGGGGAATGGGGTGCGAGATTGGACGTCTGGTAAGGGATCCTGGTTGGGTTTTTTTTCTTTATGGAGTATTTTTATGGGGCTTTTTATGGGTGTTGCGTTTGAGTTGTTTCTGGTGTCTTTCTTTCCCTTTTCCTTCTCCCTCTTTCCCTTTTCCTCTTTCTATCCATATCGATGCGAACCTTGATGCCAGTCACTAAACTCTATTGTGATAATATTTGAATTTAGCTTGGTCCGCATTCGACAGCTATACCTAGAGAAAATCTCTAGGACACAGCAGTACCGGAATTATTTACATACACGAGCACTCATTGAGTGGAAAAATCACGGGAGGTGCTAATCTGACTGCTCCTCTAACTGCTCCTTGTGCTGACGCCAACCTACGCAAATTGACTGGCCGGGACCGATTTGATGGCATTGATCTGGTTGACCTCGCAGTGGAGAATGTGCTTCTCGCCGTTGATCACGGCGTACATGGCGTTAGGCGCGATGTAATCGCAAAGGCGCTCCGTCTGGAACGGCTCGCCTGGGAGGTTGTTCCCGGAGTGAATCTGCACGCCGGTAATCACGGCGTAATCCGCGGTCGCGGGATCTACGGTCTGAGAGATAAGGTACTCGAGGTCGTCGGTGATAGCCTGCAGCGCGGCGCGGGTGACTTGCACCAGGGTAGGCTCGTCGGTGGTAACTCGGGCCGCGACCTTCTTCTTGAGAAGAACGTACTCGGCGTTGTCAGGGTCCTCGACGATGGGACCGCCAGCGCAAATGTCGCCGCGGATGGCGATGAGGGCACCGCATGCGTTGGACGGCTTGCCGCGGCCGCGACGGAGCAGCGACCCGACCTCGCCGGTCTCGCCAATTGACACGTGGGGGAAGCCGAAGAAAATGTCTGGGAAGGGACGAAGGGGATCACGAGGAGCGAGCTTGAGACGGATACACAAGACGACACCATTGTTATTTCCAAGGCGCTTGGTTTTTCTATATTCATCTTTTCTTTTTTCGCCGCGTTATGTAATTATACATCCGGATGCTGAAAACAGGTTGAGGTACTTACATCGCTCCTTGGGCTTGCCGCTCTTGTCGCAGGGGAACTCAGGCGAGTGGCTCATGGCAGCCTTGAACCCCGTCTTGCCGCAGTTCACGAGCCCGCCCAGCCCGGCGATGTTGAAGCTCATTCCGAACTCGCGGTCGATCAGATTCACGATCGGCCGGCACACCTCGTCGCGGCACGTGTTCACCAGCGCGATGCAGTTGTCGCGGCGGAAGCCAAGGTTGTACAGTTCCGCTGCCACGGCGCGCATGAAAGTCTCCTCCTGCATCGCGTTCGGAAACGTCGCCGCCATCGTTGCTAGCGCAGCCGGTGCGGCGCGCTTGGCACGGGGGACGTAGCCGCCGTCGAAGGTAACAGGTGGAGTAGCGGCAGCGGCGGAAGCGGCGGGGACGGAATTCTTGGAAAGAAGCGCGAGAGCAGCGCCGCCAAGAATACCAGCGCCGAGAATCGACGGGACAATCACGCCGGAGTTGGCGGGGGGAGCGGCGGGAGCGGCGACGGACTGGCTGACGCTGGCGAAGAGAGCTTGCTCGGACGCCTCGTTGGACTCAGCAGAGGCGCGCACAACGACGGCATGGCGCGCGCACTTGCAGCCGCGCGCGCAGCTTGACTTATTGGCGGCCTTGACGTGAGCGGAGGACCGAAGGCCTGAGAAGCTGGGAAGAGCGGAGCTGGATGAGGAAGTCAACCCAATCTGTGCCAGTGTGGCGGCAGGGGCCTTGGCGCCGACGGAGGAAGCGGCAACAGCAGCCATTCTGATCGTGTGCGGATCGAATCAGCAAGTTGTGAGGATGAGGTCTCGCCTGCAGTGTGAGTATTGCTTGCGAGTGATGTAGAATGAGAAACTGTTTTTGAGTTGTTAACGAATTTTGGTGATCCAATTTATATTTGGTAGTGTGGGTGGAGCGGAGGGGAGGGGAGGGGACAGGGCAAACAAAGGGAGTCGCGCCTTCTCACCGAATCGCGTTCCTCGTTCGTCCCCCATCGGCCAGGAATCCAGCTTTTGAGGCTGGGTGTGATCACTTGCTTGCTTGCTTGCTTACTGCGGGGCGAAGTGGTGGCGAGGGGATGAGGTGGTGGCCATGGATGTGCCATCTGGCAGATGCTGACGATGAATATTGCACGTCGGTAATATCTGTGGTGTCTTTCGATTGGCGGGAAATGGGGCAAGCCCTGGAGGTGGGTGCAAACCTGACTTCGGTTCGGTTACGAGGAAATGTCAGAGCTGGTTCAGAAAAACTCGAAGAGGAATGTGTGTAGTACTTCCCTACCAGAGCATCCCTCCCAGTTCGCAACCCCAGGGGCTTGAGGAATGTGGAGATCCCCTTGTTTCAAACCTTGAACAGCCTCGAAGGGACAAATTGCATTCCACAATTTCATGGTTTCTTTCCACATGCAGCTGAATTGGTGGAAATTCAGGCTTCCACATCCCTGTCCCTTGGTGATACAACCGTCGTTGACGAAGCGACATCACTGGCTCTCTTCTCCCATCTCATCCTATTTCATTATCTACACAAGACTCTTTTTGACCGCGATTATGACGAAAAGACGTACCTTGTCGGTGAACGGATTGAGCAACTGCTAATCGGTTTGTCGTGTCATCGCACTGCTCCGAACCAGCAAGAGACGGTAGATGGAACCCATTTTCAATCACCCGTTTTCTTTATGCAGATTATAGTCGGAAGGTGAAGAAAGCGAACAACAACGCTAAAGGTATGTTCTTTTATGTTAAGACACATCTTCACCACTGGACAAGTATTTGCGATTCCACGATTGACTTTTACGTCAAGAAGAAGCATGGCCCCCTTCTTGACACACAGTGCACATTCAAAATCTACTGCTGTTCAGCAGCCTCCCCACGCCGAGCCCAATATACAACTCCACGGGATGGGACACCCAACTTCGGAAGAACAAGTAATATCATTGGCTATCAATTATCCCCCTTAGGACGTACTTGCAAGTGTTGAATCAGAAGCGCACAAGCGTAACCCACTTATTCTCTGCTCTGCATGTAAGTAAGCTTTCATGTTGGAGTCCATATGCAAGAGAACCTGTCACTTGGGCAGATCGTAGCCCTATGTACCTTTCAATTTTCGGATTTCCTTATCTATCCATGCACAGAGGTTCGTCACTCAACTCTTCAGAAGGCTTTCCTCCCTCAATCTGGAATGAGCATTGTATTTCAAAAGATGACACATTGCGTCACAAACTGGCTTGGTTGGAACTGCATTTTTGGCCACCTTTGGTTTCGACAATGGAGGTTGTCATGTCAGCTTCAACACGACATTGAATAACCTTTTAAGTTCCAGATTATGTCCTTTTCCCTGCCAGAGTTACCGTGAACTGAATTGGCAACTTTCCTTCAAACTAAATCAGTGACCTACTCCCAACAAGAACGGAGATATCTTTCACATGGAAAAGTGGGAACGTTAGTTGGCTGGAAAATGGAACGAAAATATAAAGCTTAATTATAGCCTTGTGTGATGTGCACTTGGTAGGAAAAGAAACAAAGTAGGGGAGAATCCTTAGCGTGAATTGGACAACAAGCGTTTTATTTACAAAAGCTACTACAAACACTCGTTTAGGAGTAACAATTCCGACGGACAGCAACTCCGAATGTGTTGAGTCAACACATTCCCTAATTCAACCCAGTACCTGCTCCTTTCGCTTATTCAGTTGGCAAACTTATAGGCAGGGACGGATTTGATGGCATTGATCTGGTTGATCTCGCAGTGGAGAATGTGCTTCTCGCCGTTGATCACGACGTACATGGCATTGGGCGCGATGTAGTCACAGAGGCGCTCCGTCTGGAACGGCTCGCCTGGGAGGTTGTTCCCGGAGTGAATCTGCACGCCGGTAATCACGGCGTAATCCGCGGTCGCGGGATCTACGGTCTGAGAGATAAGGTACTCGAGGTCGTCGGTGATAGCCTGCAGCGCGGCGCGGGTGACTTGCACCAGGGTAGGCTCGTCGGTGGTAACTCGGGCCGCGACCTTCTTGAGAAGAACGTACTCGGCGTTGCAGGGTCCTCGACGATGGGACCGCCAGCGCAAATGTCGCCGCGGATGGCGATGAGGGCACCGCATGCGTTGGACGGCTTGCCGCGGCCGCGACGGAGCAGCGACCCGACCTCGCCGGTCTCGCCAATTGACACGTGGGGGAAGCCGAAGAAAATGTCTGGAAAGGGACGAAAGGGAACACGAAGAGCGAGCTTGAGCCGGACACACAATACGACACATTGTTTTGTCTTTTTTTTTTTTTTTTGCTTGCTTGCTTTTTTTTCGTCACGTTCTATAATTACACATCTGGACGTGGGAAAATGGTTGAGGTACTTACATCGCTCCTTGGGCTTGCCGCTCTTGTCGCAGGGGAACTCAGGCGAGTGGCTCATGGCGGCTTTGAACTGGCTCTTGTTCACCGACGATCGGCCGGCACACCTCGTCGCGGCACGTGTTCACCAGCGCGATGCAGTTGTCGCGACGGAAGCCAAGGTTGCGCAGCTCCTCCGCCACGGCGTGCATGAAAGTCTCCTCCTGCATCGCGTTGGGGAACGTCGCCGCCATTGTCGCTAGCGCGGCCGGCGCGGCGCGCTTGGCACGTGGGACGTAGCCACCGTCGAAGGTCACCGGAGCGGCAGCAGCGGGAGCTGCAGGAGCGGAGCTCTTTGAGAGAAGGGCGAGAGCGGCGCCGCCGACAATACCTGCTCCGAGAATCGACGGGACGAGCACGCCGGAGTTGGCGGCGGGAGCAGCGGGAGCGGCGACAGACTGGCTGACGCTGGCGAAGAGAGCTTGCTCGGACGCATCGCTGGACTCAGCAGCGGCGCGCACGACGACGGCATGGCGCGCGCACTTGCAGCCGCGCGCGCAGCTGGTCTTCTTGGCGGCCCTGATGGGAGCGGAAGCGCGAAGGCCCGAGAAGCTGGGGAGGGCGGAGTTTGAAGAGGCAGTCAGCCCTGACTGAGCCAGTGCAGCCGCAGGGGCCTTAGCGGCGGTGTAGGACGAGGCGACAGCAGCCATTTCTTGAAAAGTGTTAAACGAAATGTCTAAATGTGGTTAGTGGCTGCAGCGGAAGGCGTCTGGAGCGACGATGCAGGGGAAAATGAGTCGAAAATGGTTGAATAGCGGCTTATCTGAGCTTTGGTTTATACTTGAGGAATGAAGGGTTGGATGTGTGTGAGAGTGGAGGCCTTTGGGGTGGTCGGGGGGTTTCCTACAGGTGAGGGGGGGGGGGACGAATTCCAATTTCGAGAAACTAGCGAGTCGCGCGTCTTGTTGCCCCCTCCTGTGGGCTAGAAATCCAGCCATCCAGCGTGTCGAGCTTCAATCACGTGTGAAGTGAAGCATTTTACCTGCACCTTGGGGACACAAAAACCGCCTGTGAAGGTAAACGGCGCCAGGTGGCGGTGCTGACGTTGGGGCCGTCCACGTCGGTCCTTTTTGTGGTTGGTAGATAATGGCGGGTAATCGTCGAGTACCTCGCTCAACTCCCAAAGTTAGTGCAAAATGGTTGACCTGATCGCGAACGTGGGTCAAGGTTGGTTTGGGATAAGCCCGAAGAGGAATTTCCTCCCTCTGGCTTGCCAAAACAGCCCAGTGCCGTCAGGAAAATTGGTACTGTAAGAGGAATTTGGGACATTCCGGGTCGTCTTTCCAACAAGTGTGGGGCATCTGCTTGCTTCCCCATCCCACACAGCACGTTTCCATCCCTCCCATCCCAGCTCAACGAACTGATGCCAAGTTTGGTTTGCTTTGCACAGGCTGTTCATATAAATCAGATGGCCGTGCTCTCCATTCCAAGCTTGCTCTACTTGTTCAGATGGTACGTCTCCGCTTACAGCTAGAGTCTAACGGACACTCGTAGTACGGGTAAGTAAGTATAGCTCGTAGTGCTCGCAGCAACGCAGCGCTTCAACGGGCCTCTTGGTTGGCGAACGGCCGTCGGTTTCTCTTGCAACATTTCTCTTTTTGTAGAGATTGTTGCTCACATTTTGGTGTATCCTGAATAATTTCGCGGTGGCCGAAATTTTTAGGTTTCTTCCCTTGACATGTGGTAAGCATACTATCTTTTCCCAGCAGTTAAACCTCACTGTTCAAGCGGCATTCACGCTTCCGCGTTGCAAAGACATCAGATCCCCAACAGCAGGACATTCTCGGCTCTGGGGATTCGAGCGAAGCATGCGTCGCTGCAGTGGGTAAAAGCTGATGGTGATTTGCTTTTGCTGCTCCATAGGCGCCACAATTGCCACTGAAGCGGCGAGAATCATGTCCATGCCAGGCCGCCGCTGCCGTCTCACTTGCGGTCAAAGTTGTGATAGCTGAGCGAGGAAAAAAAAAGCCTCATGTTTAGCGAGACCAGAAGTCGCATAAATTTTGCCCGTTTAACCACCGCTGACTACTGCGTTCAATCTTTTCACGTGGGTGATAATCCGTCCGAGTCGTCGCAAAGAAGGGCCCTTGCCCACGTCTCCGTCGACCCATGGAGACGATCTTGGTGGCTTCCCGAACGCATGATTGCGTTCTGACCGAATGGTGAGGAACGACCAACGGCAAGCAGAGGTAGGCCATGGTATGTCTCCTATCTGGTCAACATGCTGAGATACCCTCGAGAGGACAAACGGGAGCTTACAACAAGCGAGAAAGAAGGAGATCACAGAAAAGGAGGGACCACAGAAAAGGAGAGATCACAGCAAAGGAGAGACTTAGCAAGCGAATGATTACAGCAGGAGAGAGGTTGCAGCAAGAAGGGAAAGTACATCGCAGCTCCACAGTTTCAAAAATATCTCAATTTTGATCCCGAGTTTACCCAAAAAGTCCAGCTTTGCGGAATTCTGCTCACGCGAGGCCCAAAGTATGTTCAAAACTGGTCCTGCGGGGCAGAAATTACGACACGTGTCCATTTTGTGCAAGGTTTATTTATACGGGGCAAACCAAACATAATACCCCTGGGGAAACGGGACACAATTTGGGTAATATATTGCACTGCCTGCGTAAGCAGGCAGTGCAATCGAGTCAGCAAGCTGACCGCGGGCAAGAAAAAAAACTAAAACCCTCTCAGATGGGATGCCATCCGAGGGAGCCTCAACCCTAAAATTTTAGGGTTGATGCTCCCGAATGGCATGCCGTAAGCCAAGGGGTTTAATTTTTGCCCGCAGGATACATTTCGGGAGGGATCAACCCTAAACACCGGGCGGGTTCCCGTGTTTAGGGTTGATCCCTCCCGAACAAGTGTCCTGGTTTCCCCAGGGGTATTATTGTTTTTGTGCCCCGTCAAAAATTGTTGGTGTGAAATAGACACGTGTCAATATTTGAGGCCCACAAGACCAGTTTTGAACATAATTTGGGCCTCGCGTGAGCCAAATCCCAGAAAGTGGGACCTTTCGAGTAAACCTGGGGGTAAATATGAGAGAAATCTGAAAGTAAGGATCTAGGATATAGTTTCCCCAGCAAGAATAACAACAAGTGAGAGATCACATAACGAGGGATCACAGCAAACGAGGGATCGCAGCAAACGAGCAACCATAGGGCGCCGGAGATCACAACCACCTTGAGAGCGGACAGCATGCAAGATTCATGATGTTGCTCAAAGACAAACAAGAATATTATTGTCGTCTCTGTTGGTTCTTCTAATGTAGTGCTATTTGCCAAATTCACCATCAGTTTGAAATGTGCAGGTCTTTGTGACTCAAATCAGTTGTCTTTGGCCGAGCACGCTGATACAAGAGCCCTGTACCAATGCACCTATCCAGAAGCTGTCAGTAAAGTGAATGGAAGCGGCATTTCTTCATATAAGGAACTGACTGTCACAAGTAGCTGTGCCTCTCTTTGTCAAAACATATGCATGTTAGTATCTAGGCTATATTGGGGCTAGCCTTAAGGGGTACAGAAACTCACTCGACACTCTAGTCTTGTACCCCAACCTCCACCTAATGAGACACATACTCTTCTCGTTCTAACATGGCATCAGAAGCCTAGGTTAGGAACCTAGGACCACCTTGTACTAAGGGCCCGCCCTTCCGCTAGCGCCCTCGAGCGCCTTCTTCCTTTCGTGCGCCCTCGCGCGCCTCGTTTCCTGGTCGCGTAGCCCGCTAGACGACCGCCCGTCGACCCAAAAGCCCGTAGGGCTTCGCGTCGCCCGTAGGCCGCCGCCCCTGCTTTCGTAGCCGCTGCCTGCGCGCGAGTGCAGCCCACGCCCGACCGCTCGCCCCTAGGACGGCGCTCGTAACGCCGCCGCCCGCCCGCAGGTCGCAGCCCGCGCGCAGTGGCGATCGCGCGTCGGCTGCTGCAGCTCGCGCTTAGCTGCAGCTCGTGCTTAGCTGCAGCAGGACCCCAGCCGCGGCCTGCACGCAACTGCAACCCTAGGCGCCGCCGCGCACCGTGCATAGGCCCGCCGTTGCGCTGCCCTACCTGCCCGAGCCGCGCCGCCCTGACTGAGCCTACTGTTTAGGGTTTAGGGTTTTGCAGCACCTACTGTCCCTGTTCCTGCTGTTACAGCTGTTCTTCTCACTACAGTTGTTCCTACTACTGCTCTTACTGCCGCTACTGCCACTATGGCTACACCCACAGTTCTCTCTTTCGATGCTGAGGGCCGTCCGCTCCAGTTTGATGCTTGGCTTGACGATCTCCACCTTTTCCTCCAGATCACCGCTAAGGATGACGTCTCGCTGTATGACCACGCGTCCGGAACCGCTCTCGCACCTGCTGACACTGCTGACAGTACAGCTCGCTCCCAGTGGCAGACTCGTGACGCCCACGCTCGCCTAGCCATTCGCAGCCACCTGCCGTTAGATGAGCGCGCGCACTTTGGCCAGCACAAGACTGCTAAGGAGCTGTACGATGCAGTAGTCGCCCGCTACTCCTCACCTGCCTCCGCTACGATAGGCCGTCTCTCTCTGCCCTATCTTTTCCCCGATCTCGCCGCCTTTCCCACAGTCGCTGACCTCATTACACACCTCCGCACCAGTGACACTCGCTTCCGAGCCGCCCTCCCTGCTGAGTTTCTCGCCAAGAACCCCCCACCGATGTACCTCGTTCTCTACCACCTAGTCACCCGTCTCCCTGACTCTCTTCGCGCAGTCAGGGACCACTTTCTCGCCCTCTGCCCTACCGAGCTCACCATTGACCTGCTCGAGAAGCATCTGCTTGCAGCTGAGGCTAGTATAGTTGCTGTAGGTGCCTCTCGTGGCGACCCCCGCACGCCCTTCTTCGACGGGTGTTCCCCTTCCCCCCTTCTCCCCTCGGTTGCCTCTGCTGCCGCTGTCGACTTCCTCGGTGCTGAGGACGTCGGGGCTGCGTCTGCTCCTAGCTGGAGGCGCAAGAGCGGCAAGGGCAAGGGGGGCAAGGGTGGCGGCGGTACCAGTGGGGGAGGTGGGGGTGGCGGTGGAGGTGGAGGCGGTGGGGGTGGTGGCGGTGGTGGGGGTGGTGGCGGGGCTGGGGGGGTCAGTGGCAGCGACGGGGGTGGCAGCGGCGGGGGTGGTGGCGGCAGTGGTGGTGGGGGAGGCCGGGGTGGAGGTGGTGGTGGTGGCGGCAGTGGGCGTGGTGGCGGCGGCTCGGGTGGTGGTCGGGGTGGACCAGCGCAGCGTGGAGGCTCGGGTGGTGCCCAGCGCCAGCAGCAGCGTCTTGGAGAGACCCCGTCGTCCCAGCAGCTTCGTGAGTGGTACTCTCAGCATGGGGGGTCTGGGGGTGGAGGCACCTGCACGTATGTCATCCGCACCGGTGACCGCGCTGGTCAGACGTGTGGGCGTTTCCACACGCCGCACCGCTGCTTCTTTCGTCTAGACGATGCCTGGCGTGCACAGTTCCCGGAGGCCTCTGAGCTGCCCCGCTGGGCTGATCTGCTTAAAAAGAACATTGATGTATTTGCACTTGACTTTGATGTTATTCTTGGAGCCATGTATGCATTGACTATTAGTGTTGAGGGTGACTGTTACTTGTGTGTGCCACCAGACCCAGGCATTGCGACCAGTGAGGCTGCCGCTCTAGGTGCTAGTGCGTCCGCTGCCCCAGGTCCTGGTGAGACAACTGCTCTAGGTGCAGGTGTGTCTGCTGCCCCAGGTGCTTGTGAGGCTGCGCCTTCAGGTACAGCGTCTACTGCGGCACTGCACACCTTCACCCTGGACTCAGGTGCTTCCCGCTGTTTCTTTCGCGACCGCACTGCCCTCGAGCAGCTTCCTAGACCGGTTGCTGTCTCCCTGGCTGACCCCTCCGGGGGTCCGGTTCTTGCGACCTCCTCCACTGTCCTCCCGTGTCCTGCGGTCCCGTCTGGCACCCTGTCAGGTCTTTACCTCCCCTCGTTCTCTACGAACTTGGTGGCGGGCTCTGCTCTACAGGACGGGGGTGTTCACCAGTTCACCCCTGCCTATGAGCGTGTGACCCACTGTACGTGTGCCCGGACGGGTCGCCACCTTGCTACCTTCACTAGGGAGCCGGGGTCGGACTTGTACACACTGACCACTGAGTCCCCTCAAGTAGCTGCGTCTGCGTCTGCGTCAGGTCAGCTGTCGGCCCCCTGCTTGTGTCGCTCCCTGTCCCACCAGACTGTCCTCTGGCACCACCGCCTTGGTCACCCGTCAGTGCAGCGCCTTCGCGGCATGCACCGTCGCCTCCTTGTCTCTGGTCTTCCCCGGGTTCTCCCTCCCCTCCCACCCTCGCCTGCGCCTCCCTGTCTTCCCTGTGTCGAGGGGCGGCAGCGCGCCGCTCCTCACTCCTCCGAGTTTCCCCCGACAGAGGCTCCTCTGCAGACACTCCACATGGACGTGTGGGGCCCCGCCCGCGTCCGTGGACAGGGCGGGGAGCGCTACTTTCTGCTGGTAGTTGACGACTACACGCGTTACACCACGGTCTTCCCCTTGCGCACCAAGGGTGAGGTCCCTGATGTCTTGATCCCTTGGATCCGCGCTACCCGTCTCCAGCTGGAGAGGCGCTTTCGCTCGGACCTTCCAGTCCTGCGACTGCACTCTGATAGAGGTGGTGAGTTTTCCTCCGACCTCTTGAGAGCCTTCTGTCAGGGGGAGGGCATTGAGCAGACGTTCACGCTTCCGGCCTCTCCGCAGCAGAATGGGGTTGCTGAGCGCCGCATTGGCCTGGTCATGGAGGTCGCTCGTACCTCCTTGGTCCATGCGGCTGCCCCCCCACTTTCTGTGGCCGTTTGCGGTACGGTACGCCGCACATCAGCTCAACCTCTGGCCCCGTGTCTCTGACCCGGACACCTCGCCGACACTGCGTTGGACGGGAGAGGTTGGCGATGCGTCGGTGTTTCGAGTCTGGGGATCTCGTGCCTTTGTCCGCGATGCGTCCGCGGACAAGCTCTCCTCCCGTACCCTCCCCTGTGTCTTCCTTGGCTTTGTCCCTGACGCGTCTGGCTGGCAGTTTTACCACCCTGCCTCGCGCCGTGTCTTCCCTTCTCAGGACGTCACGTTTGACGAGTCGGTCCCCTTCTACCGTCTCTTCCCCTACCGCACTGCCCCGCTCCCCCCTCCGCCGCTCTTCCTCACTCCAGGTGCTGCTGTGGTAGACCCCCTGCCTCCCCAGGGTCCTGCTCCCTCAGGTGTTTCCCAGGTAGACCCGGTCGAGCCTGTCGAGGTAGCTGTCGACTCTGGTCCTGCGCGAGGTACTGAGCCTGAGCGTGCCGAGCCTGGTGGTGCTGGGTCTGGTGGTACCGAGACTGGGGGTGCTGAGCCTGGGGGTGTGGAGACTGGGGGTGCTGAGCCTGGGGGTGCTGCCGCTGGGGGTGCTGAGCCTGAGGGTGCTGACACTGGGGGTGCTGCGCCTGGGGGTGCTGACACTGGGGGTACTGAGCCTGGGGGTGCTGTGCCTGGGGTTACTGAGCCTGGGGGTGCTGCGCCTAGAGGCACTCTTTCTTCCTTGGAGCTGCGTGAGTGGTACTCTCGGTACTGCCGCCGCCACAGTGGTACTGTGGGAGCTGGGAGTACTGTTGACACTGGAGCTGAGGGCGCTGGAGCTCCTGGTGCTGGTGTGGCTGCCGACCCTGGGGTTGGCGCTGGAGGTGCTGGAGCTGCTGGGCCTGGAGGTGCTGCTGGAGCTACTGGAGGAGCGAGTGCTGCTGGAGCTGGAGGTGCAGGTGCTGACGGTGCTGCTAGAGCTGGTGCTGAGTCTGGGGGTGTTGCTGCTGGGGACACTTCGACAGGAGACCCTGGGACTACAGGTGCCGGCTCTGGGGGTGCTCCTGCTAGTGACGCTGGTCCTGGAGGTGCTGGAGCTGCTGGAGGTGGTGGAGCTGCTGGTGCTGGGGGCACTGCGCAGCCACGACTGTTCTTTGCTCCGCCGTCTCCGTCGTCTCTGCCACCGCCTGACTCTGCTCTTCGTCAGGTTCTTACCCTCCCGTCGTCTACTGGTCTTCCGTTACAGCCTGGCTCACCACTGCCTGCCCCTTCTCCTTACACTGAGCAGACAGGAGGTCTTGCTGAGCGTCGTGAGCCTGCGTCTCGTCCTGCGTCGCCCGTTCGCACTGCTCGCACTAGTCCTCGTGTCCCACGTCCGCGTCCTCCTCCTGTCCCTGGCACGCACTAGATGACACTTCGTCAGTCCACTGCTCCACAGCGTGTTCCACTGCCGTCCCCCCCTGCGTCTTCTCTGCCTGACGTTCCAGACCCTGAGTCTGACCGTGTACGTGCTGCTCACCCTACTGTCACGCGTCTCCTGGCCACTGTTGTCACTGACCCTTCCTTTGAGTCCGCTGCTGCGTCTGCCTTAGTTGCTGAGCTTGTCGACTTTGCTGCTCACTGTCGTCTAGACTACGCCGCGAGTCTAGTTGCTGAGTCTGAGTCTGTCTGTCCTCCGTCCGTCGGGGGTGAGTGTGCTCTTGGCACGGACATCCTTGAGGACAGGCAGGAGGAGTTTGAGTGCTTTGCCGCTGCTGTACCTCATCTCGTGTCCATGCTGATTGCACCTGAGGGAGACCCAGATGCACCAGACATCCCGACCCCGCGCTCTTACGCTGAGGCGATCGCGGGTGAGTACTCCTCTCAGTGGCAGACAGCCATGGACGCAGAGATGGCATCCTGGAAGTCCACTGGCACTTACGTCGACGAGGTTCCCCCTCCTGGGGCGAACATCGTCAGTGGCATGTGGATTTTCAGGGTGAAGCGGCCGCCAGGTTCTCCGCCTGTCTTCAAGGCTCGTTACGTTGCTCGAGGCTTCAGTCAGCGAGAGGGAGTAGACTTCTTCCAGACCTTCTCCCCCACCCCGAAGATGACCACTCTTCGGGTGCTGCTGCACGTTGCCGCTCACCGTGACTACGAGCTTCACTCTCTTGACTTCAGCACAGCTTTCTTGCAGGGCAGCCTGCACGAGGAGATCTGGCTGCGCCGCCCCCCGGGCTTCACTGGGTCATTCCCTCCTGGTACCCAGTGGAGCCTCCGGCGGCCAGTCTACGGTCTCCGCCAGGCGCCTCGTGAGTGGCACGACACACTGAGGACTACACTTGCGGCACTTGGGTTTGCTCCCTCCACAGCTGACCCGTCGCTGTTTCTGCGCACCGACACTTCACTGCCGCCGTTCTACATCCTCCTGTACGTCGACGACTTGGTGTTTGCCACTGCGGACACTGAGGCTCTCGCCCACGTGAAGTCGAAGCTGCAGAAGAGACACACGTGCACAGACTTGGGTGAGCTGCGCAGCTACCTTGGCTTGCAGATCACCCGGGACAGAGCACGTCACACCATCACCCTGACTCAGTCACACATGGTGCAGCAGGTCCTTCAGCGCTTCGGCTTCACCTGGTCCTCAGCACAGGCCACTCCTCTGGCTACAGGTCATTCGCTCTCAGCTCCACCTTCGGACGAGTCCGTAGAGTCGAGTGGTCCTTACCCAGAGCTAGTTGGCTGCCTCATGTACCTGATGACTTGCACTCGACCTGACCTCGCGTACCCTCTTGGTCTTCTGGCTCGCTACGTGGCTCCTGGTCGGCACCGACCTGAGCACATGGCTGCTGCTAAGAGGGTACTGCGCTACTTGTGCAGCACATCAGGCATGGGGCTAGTGCTTGGAGGGACGAGCCCAGTTGTTCTCACTGGGCACTTAGACGCTTCTTGGGTTGACGACCAGGCTACTCAGCGGTCGTCACAGGGTTACACCTTCAGCCTTGGCTCTGGTTCAGTTTCGTGGCGTTCTACACGCTCGTCTTCAGTTCTCAGCTCCAGTTGTGAGGCTGAGATCTACGCCACAGCCATGGCTGCACAGGAGTTGCGCTGGCTCACCTACCTGCTGACTGACTTGGGAGAGCAGCCTCGTTCTCCTCCAGTGCTGTACGTCGACAACAAGGCCGCCATTGCCTTGTGTGAGGAGCACAGACTGGAGCACAGAACAAAGCACATCGCTCTGCGTTACTTCCTGGCTCAAGAGCTGCAACAACGTGGTCAGCTTCGTCTGCGTCACGTGGCCACTCGGGCCAACACTGCTGATATATTCACTAAGGCGCTTCCGTCTGGTGATCATCAGCGTTTCTGCACTTTGCTAGGGCTTGTGCCCACATTTCCTCACTTGCTGTAGGCCTTGCTTGTACTGTGATCTATATATATATATACCTGCATGTTTGCATTGCTAGGTAGAGATCACTGTGCTGTTCTTGCTGCTTATATACCTCTGCATGTGGACTGGCCTTGTGGCCGTTTGTTTGTGCTCAGTGTGTGTGGTGACGTTGTGATCCACCCTGAGCCGTGTTTTGTTTCTTCTCTTGACTGGTCTTGTGACCATTGCTTGCTCTGGCTATCCCCCATTTCGCCTATGGGGGTGTGTCAAAACATATGCATGTTAGTATCTAGGCTATATTGGGGCTAGCCTTAAGGGGTACAGAAACTCACTCGACACTCTAGTCTTGTACCCCAACCTCCACCTAATGAGACACATACTCTTCTCGTTCTAACACTCTTGGTAGTCAAAGCTATTCCAGTGACAGCTTTTGTGATCCGCACAATGAAGACACTGACTTACTGATGCTAATATGTGGAGAAAGATATGAGAGCAGACAGTCTCACAAAGAACCTGTCGTTACCCGACTATGCAGTCCGTCTCGCACAGAAGTATGCATCTATTCAATACGGTGTTCATACATTGGACAAAGAGTGTACCTCCCTCAGGGGGTGTGAGATGTAGAAGCTCTAAAAATAAACACCCCAAGGGTGTACATGCAGGGCAGGGCTCTCGCTAGGTTTTGGGGCTGTCTGACAGTACCCTGAAATTTTTTTCCCCCGTCTTATGCTCGGACGACGAAACTTCCGTAGTCTGATAACCAAGACGAAAAAAAAGTTCCTGATAAAAGTCAACCTACTGCGAGGTTGGGGTACGAGCGTGTGGGGGCAAGGGAGGGAGTGGAACAAATGGCCACATGCTACGTATCTAGTATCTACCTCATCGCCGCTTTCGGCGGGGCTGCTATAAGACATGCGTAATGAATGCGCGTGCTGTTACAGGGCAGCAACAAATCGCTGTACCTGTGGTCCTATCCTCTGGTCCACTGGGCATATGGCCTAGTGGGTCAAGATGTCGGTTTCAGACGAAACCGAACTCGATATCTGTGTTTTCAGATTAAGAATTCTACACGTCTGGAAAAATCATACGAACCTAAAACGCTAATCTTACTGATCAGATGAGAACAAACACAAATTCTTAGGAAGCAGATGAATACAAAAAAACAAGTCTTAAACTCAGACCATCAGACCAAATTGGTCTGATAACGAGAACCCTGATGCAGGGTACCGTATTACGGTACTCACACTACATATTATAACTGAATGAAATGAATCTCTGCGTTTTTTCAACATATATAGTGTGGAAAACGACATACGTGGACCAGGTTCTTCACAAAAGGAAAAAGTAGCATCGGCTTATGACTGAGGAGCAACACTGCCACTAGAGCGTCATGAGCATCAATCATGACAGCGCAGCTGGATAGGTACCGTACGCCGTACGGACATGCACCTACACCATTGGAGGCAGGGTTGCTCTGTATATTCTAGCTTGGTAAAACCCATCTGCTGTTTTCGTCTCTGTTCCTTCAATCACTTCCAAGTGCAATCCTGAAGCCCCTGCTGCTTCCCACACCACCTTTGTTGTACTGCAGATGAGAAATGTGTGGGAGAGGTGGAGGTGTGGGGGGAAAGGAAGCACGGTTCAGGAACGGCGGAGCAAACGTGTTAAAATGGATGAGGTAGATGTGGATGAGATGAAGACAACATGAAACTTCATAACTGACTTGAGTTACCCTGAGCTTAGCCACATGATTACTCGCCTCACCTCAAGTGCAGCACATGAGAAATCACCTGAGATGCCTCTCCACGTATGCGAGGATGAAAGAGCTGGGGGACAGCTTGGCCTGCTGTGAGGCTACCTCCTCAGCCACACGCGCGTCACAGGCAGATGTATCTTGCGGCGCGTCACGCAACGAATCATGGCAAGGAGGACCTTGGTGTGATGACAGGCGCTGAGAAGAGGATATGGCGTGCTCGCGGGCTGAGAGCAGTGCCTTGATGCAGGTGAAGAGAGGCGGCACATGGCACTGCTGGTAGCCTGACACGGCGGGAGGGGAGGAAAAGAGGAGGAAAAGCTGGGGGTAACGGAGGGGAGGGAGAAGAAACAAAGAGATTAGGGGGAATGGAAGTACAGATGAAATCCGAGGCATTGAAGCGAGGAAACAAACAGGCAATTGCTTTTGTAAGCAACTCACATATGTCAGCACCGATGATGACGTCGAACCCGCTGGGGTGCGCGGCTAGCAGCGCGTCCAGATGCTGCTGGTCCGCCCACTCCAGCTGCGCACACTCTAGGCTGGGGGTGCATGAGGCTGACGACCTAAACACCTCACCACACACGAGATAGAATAGAATCAAAGCAGACCAGGACGATTCACATTAGTTATGGTGCGCCATGTCTGAGCGAATGCTGAAGCAGGGCGGGTGGAGGGGAAGGGAGAGGACGGGTGACCTTTGTTGGAAGAGGTGGTTGTGGTGGTCGACGTTGCGCTGCACCACCTGCAGCACCTCGCTGTTGTGGTCTGTCAGCATCACGGCTGTGCTGCCCACGTGCGCGCACACCAGCCCTGCCAGCCCTGCGCCTGCTCCCACCTCCACCACGGCCTTGCCCGCCACCTCCTGGGGATGCGCTGTGAGGTAGTCCGCTAGTATGGCTGCTCCCGGCCACACTATCTGCCCTGTCAAGTCGTAATCCGCTGCAGGGGGGAGAACGAGCCGGGGGGGGCGGGGGGGGGGTGGGGGGAGAGAGGGGTGGGGAGGCACAAAGGGTGAATGTATGAAACCCGATATGCTGTAAGACCTAAAACCCTAAAACCAGAAACCCGACAATCGGAAATAAGAGCAGAGAAAGAAGTGGAGTTGGGAATGCGGGAAGGTGGACGGGGAAGGAGCGGAGATGGAGAATGCAAGCGAGAGAACCACCTCAGCGGGGGGACAGGAAGCGGGCTTAACTGGCGGCGGCGGCGAGGCAGTAGAGCGGCACACTGATGTCGTTGAACGAGAAGGAACGCAGGACGTAGCTGAGGGAAGGGCCGCAGGCACGGAAGGCGGGGAATGAGAAACGCGGGGGGATGGAGGTAAGCGACGGCAGCACGAAAATAACGAGTCCGAAACCCGGACGAGGGAGGTCATTCCAATACCCTTCCACAATCCTTCCAGGGTCCTTCAAGCGTCGCATTGGGTTTCGTCAGAAGGTCTCTTCCGGGAGCTCAATAAGTAGTGTTCCAGGCAATTGCGACCCTTCCATTGAGGGTCCTAAACGTGCTGGAAAGGAGTCTGGGATCCTCCCAACTCGCGCAGCGTTCGTATTTTGCAATCATTGAATAGAAAACAGGGTAGAGATATGGTAACTAGTTCTGGTGCCGTTGGTTACAGTTCACCACACAGGTTTGCGCGCAAAAGATTTTCACTAGATCAACGCAGCGGGTTATAAAACTCAGCCTCGAAAGCCGAGCGCGAGACACAAAGCTAAGTGATGATCATGATGATACAAGAGTCTGACTTGCTGATTACGACGCTGGTGGATAAAATGATGGACGATGCAGAAGCGGTGCGAAAACATTTGAAGCAGACGCGAAGTTTTCTACTGAAGACCGGTTGTACCGTGACCCGTCTAGGTGCACCTTTTGTCTACGAACAATGACGCTTCGAAGAAAGTGCTTGTCTCATCCTCCGCCTCTTCCTCTCCCGGTAGGGAATTTGTAAGTCCCCCTTTGTCCGCCTCGGCGCCGACCATCGCGGCAACGAGGAGGTGCGGTCACCGCGAATGACGTTCGCGAAGCTACACTTTGAGGACCATTCCAAGCAAGAACCGACTTGTGCCTGCCTCCTTTCAATTGATGTTCCACGCTTGGAGCTTGTGATGCAGCAGGGTATCGTTCTGTTTGCGCATTAGCAGTTCGGGCCTTCTGCAGAAGCCCTGCGGTAATGGCGCTCAGGAAGCTTCGGGCAAATGCTGGCAGCACGTACTCATCCTCACGATAATATGCGTTGCTAATATTGTGCTAACAAAGGATAAATACGGAACATTCCAAGTTTTGGCTCTCATACACTTTTGCATATGCTCATTGTAGGCTAGGTTTAGTTACCCTGTAAAAAGTGCGGGTTGGATACTAGATATTACAGCTGTTTGTGCTCCCCCTAATCATTCATTTCTTCGCTAACACGATAACGAATTACCTAGGTCAGGTCATGGCTTCTGCCCCGCCAACCCTAGCTACGGTAACCCTCGCCTACGAGACCGGTGGTCCGAGACCCTGTCAAACATATATGCTGCTCAACCTCTGGCCCCGTGTCTCCTTGCCGGAGACCTCGCCCACACTGCTGTGGACGGGGAAGGTTGGCGATGCGTCGCGTTTCCGGGTCTGGGGTGCTCGTGCCTTTGTCCGCGATACCACCGCGGACAAGCTCTCCGCCCGCGCTGTTCCCTGTGTCTTCCTTGGCTTTGTCCCTGACGCGCCTGGTTGGCAGTTTTACCACCCCACCTCGCGCCATGTCTTTGCGTCTCAGAACGTCATGTTCGACAAGTCGGTTCCCTTTTACCGTCTCTTCCCCTACCGCACTGCCCCGCTCCCCCCCCCCGCCGCTCTTCCTCGCTCCAGGTGCTCCCCAGGTAGACCCCCTCCCCGCTCCCGGTCCTGCTCCTTCAGGTGTGTCTCAGGTAGACCCTCCTCCCTTGACTGCGCCGGTTGAGGTCACTGGTGACTCAGGTCCTGCTGAGGGTGGTCCTGCTCGGGGTGCTACTTCTGGGGGTGCGGAGCCTAGGGGTGCTGAGCCTGGGGGTGCGGAGCCTGGGGGTGCGGAGCTTGAGGGTGTGGAGCCTGGAGGTGCTGAGCCTGAGTGTGAGGGGTCTGGAGGTGCTGAGCTTGGCAGTACTGAGTCTGGGGGTGCTGCACCTGGGGGTGCTGAGGCATCTGGTGAGCAGTCTCCCTGGAGTGGCCGTCTCCGTAGTCGCTCCGCTGGTGCCTCGCCGCTGCCCTCTCGTCGTCGACTCCCCCTCTCCTCCCTGCAGCTGGTTGAGTGGTACCTTGGCCGTCAGGGTCGCGCTGCTGGAGCTGGTGACTCTGCTCCTGAAACTGTTTCTACTGGAGGCTCAGCGGCTGCTGAGGATGCGGGCACTGGAAGTTCTGGAGCTGCTGGAGGTCCTGGTGCTGGTGGCGCTGGAGCTGGGGGTTCTGGAGCTGCTGAGGGTACTGACGCTGGAGGTTCTGGAGCTGCTGGAGGTGCTGGCGCTGAGGGTGCTGACACGGAGGTTCTGGAGCTGTTGGGGGTGCTGGCGCTGAGGGTTCTGAGTCTGCTGTTGCGCGGTCTCCTTGGAGTAGCCGCCTTCGTCCGCGTGTGCCTCTCACCTCGCAGCAGCTGCACGACTGGTACGGTCGCCGTCAGGGTCGCGCTGCTCGCGCTAGTGGAGGTACTTCTGCTGACGTCACTGGAGCTGGGAGTGGTGCTGGTACTTTGTCTACTGGGAGCTGGTGTTGCTGGTCCTGGAGGTGCTCGTACTGTCAAACATATGCTGCATATTGTCTAGGCTGTAGTGGGGTAGCCCATATGGGGTACAACCCAAATTAGGGTTTACTACTTGTACTCCTGCATGCTGCTAGTTCAACCATTCCTGCTGCTAGATTCTAACATGGTTTCAGAGCACTAAGGTCCGTAGGACCGTTTTTTTTTCGGGCCCACCTACCGCTGCGGTTACCGCGCTACCCCACGTACCTGCCTGCCTTGCCTTGCCTTGTGACGTGCTGCACTATGCGCGCCGTCCAGCAGCCCTAGCGCTGCCTCCTGCTGCCCTAGGCCAGCGCGCTGCTTCTAGAGGCCCGTAAGGCCCGCGCGCCGCCCCTACACGCCCGTCAGGCCCGCAAACAGCCCCTGCAGACCGCTAAGCACGCTGCTGCCGCGCGCTGCCCGCACCGAGCCGCGCGCAGCCCGCACCGAGCCCACGCAGCCCGCGCCGAGCCGCGCGCAGCCCGCTGCAGCCGCGCGCAGCCCGCACCGAGCCGCGCGCAGTCCACTGCAGCCGCGCGCAGCCCGCACCGAGCCGCGCGCAGCCCGCGCCGAGCCCACGCAGCCCGCGTCGAGCCGCGCGCGGCCTGCTACGGCCTCGCGAGGCCCGCGCGCGGCCCGCAACAGCCCGCGCCGAGCCGCGCGCGGCCCGCTACTGCCTAGCGCGGCCGCGCGCGGCCTGCAGCAGCTCAGCGCGCTGTCAGCGCAGCCCGCGCCGAGCCGCGCGCGGCCCTCTGCCTCGGCCCCGACCTGCCGCTGATGCGGCCTCGCCCTGCAGCTGCCACGGCCCCGACCTGCCGCTGACGCGGCCCCACCCTGCTACTGCCGCTGAAGCGGCCCCGCCCTGCAGCTGCTTCGGCCCTGCTCTGCAGCCGGTGTTGCGGCCCCGACGTCGCCACTGTCGTGCGCCTACTCGGCCGCCGCCCGTCGAGCGCCGGCCCTGCTCGCCCGGTGAGCGCCTGCTCTCCCAGCCTTTGGTGAGCGCCTGCCTGCCTGCCTGACGGCCTGCCTGTCTGCCTGCCTGCCTGCCTGTCTGCCGGCCTGCCTGCCTGCCTGCCTGCCTGCCTGCGCGCCTGCCTGCCTGCCTGCCGGCCTGCCTGCCTGCCTGCCGGCCTGCCTGTCTGTCTGCCTGCCTGCCTGCCTGCCTGCCTGCCTGTCTGCCTGCCTGCCTGCCTGCCTGCCGGCCTGCCTGCCTGCCTGCCTGCCTGCTTGCCTGCCGGCCTGCCTGCCTGCCCGCGCTACTGCTGCTGCTACTGCTACTGGCAGGTGGCCAGATGCAGCTCCAGCGACGTTCACGCGAGCCTCTCACGCCCCAGCAGCTTAGTGAGTGGTATACTAGCTGGGGTTGTCGCAGTAGCCGTCGTAGCTGTCGCCCTGGAGCTGGTCAGTTGGGAGCGTCTGGCAGTGGCCAGCTGCAGCTGCAGGGGCGTCCACGTGAGACACTTACGCCCCGGCAGCTCCAGGAGTGGTACGCTCAGTGTAGCAGGTCTACGCGTACAGTTCGCTGCCCGTACGTCATTCGCACAGGTGCTAGGACTGGTCAGCCTTGTGGGACGCTTGGTCACACACAGTCCCGCTGCTTCGCCCGTCTGAGCGACGCCTGGCGCACAGTGTTTGGCGACGAGGCTGAGCTCCCCACCTGGCTGGAGCTGCATGGACAGAGGGTAGATATCTTTGCGCTTGACTATGATGCTATTCTCACTGCCATGTATGCCTTGTCTACTAGTGCTGACCGTGCCTGTTACCTGTGCGTACCGCCTGACCCTGGTGAGGCTGCTGCCCTAGGTGCTAGTGCGTCTCCTGCTCTAGGTGCTGGTGAGGCTGCTGCTCTCGGTGCTAGTACGTCTACTGCTCTAGGTACTGGTGAGGCCGTGGCTTCAGGTGCTGGTGAGTCTGCTCTCTCTGGTACTGCGCCCACTGCGGTCTCGCACACCTTCACCCTTGACTCAGGAGCTTCCCGCTCCTTCTTTCGCGACTGCACCACACTCACGCCGCTTAGTCGGCCAGTTCCGGTCTCCCTGGCGGACCCCTCCGGGGGTCCGGTCCTTGCCCACTACTCCACGGTTCTGCCGTGTCCGGCCGCCCCGTCCGGCTCGCTGTCAGGTCTTTACCTCCCCTCGTTCTCTACGAACTTGGTGAGTGGAGCTGACCTCCAGGATCGGGGGGTTGACCAGTTCACTCCTGCGAGTCAGCGAGTGACTCACTGTACGTGTGCTAGGACGGGCCGGCACTTGGCCACGTTCACCCGTGCACCTGGCTCGAGTCTGTACACACTGACCACTGAGTCCCCTCAGGTAGCTGCGTCCGCGTCTACGTCTGGTCAGCTGGCGGCCCCTTGCGAGTGTCGCGCTTTGTCGCACGACACTCTCCTGTGGCACCACCGCCTTGGTCACCCCTCCTTGCCTCGCCTGCGTCGCATGCACTCTCGCTCCCTGGTCTCTGGTCTTCCCAGGTCTCTGCCTGCCCTCCCTCCCTCGCCTGCGCCGCCCTGCATTCCTTGCGTCGAGGGACGGCAGCGCGCCGCTCCTCACTCCTCCTCGTTTCCTCCCACAGAGGCTCCACTGCAGACGCTCCACCTGGACGTGTGGGGCCCAGCCCGCGTCCAGGGACAGGGCCACGAGCGGTACTTCCTGCTGGTTGTCGACGACTACACGCGTTACACCACGGTCTTCCCCTTGCGGAGCAAGGCGGATGTCCCTGCTGTTTTGATCCCCTGGATCCGCGCAGTTCGTCTCCAGCTCCGCGAGCGGTTCCGGTCGGACTTTCCTGTCCTGCGTCTGCACTCTGACAGAGGTGGTGAGTTCTCCTCCGACCTCTTGGCAGCCTACTGTGCGGAGCGGGGCATCACCCAGTCGTTCACGCTTCCGGCCTCTCCACAGCAGAATGGGGTTGCTGAGCGCCGCATTGGCTTAGTCATGGAGGTCGCTCGTACCTCCATGATCCATGCGGCTACCCCCCATTTTCTGTGGCCGTTTGCGGTCCGGTACGCCATGGATCGCGACGCGGGGGGTTGTCAGGAGGAGGTAATGCGAACGGGATGTGGCGCGGGGGACGACCAAGAGGAACGACTGCAGGTGTTGCCTCAGTTTCCTCAGCTTCATCTTCTCCCCCCTTTCGGTCTTCGCGGGAAGTCCCCCTGCCGCTATCGTCGGCGCTAGGTACGGCGCCCCATCCGCCGCTTGCGTTGGCCCAGGTTCCGCCGTTGTCTCCCCAGCCGCTGGTGTCACTTGTTCC